ATGGCCCTAGCAAAAGTGCAACTGATGGTTTTCTTAAAAGGGGAGCTGATACTGAATCTTCAAGGGGCATCAGAATCGAGAGGAGCTTAAGAGGAGAAATGTGTAACTGGGTCAGGTGAAGAGTGACTAAGACCTAAAAAGAACATCTGCATGACTGTGATGTGATGGCAATTTTAAGTGACATTTCATGGGCTTAGGATCATACTTTTCTAGAATTTTTTTTTTCCTGAAGATAGCTTAGCATACTAATAGCTCAATTACAGTGGCACATGGTTGTGGCAGATGGGTGGGTGGAGAACTGCATGTCATCCCAGTATGAGTCTTTGCCTTTTTGAGTGCCAGAAAATCATAAGGGAGGAGCTCTTTTGTACCACTGTAGAAGATTCCTAAGCACCTCTTTTGGTACAGCTATGCATGGCCATCAGAGCTACAGCTCTTTAAGGCAGATTTTTATATGAATCAAGCTTTCTATTAAACTTTTCTTTCCATTGGTTTAAGTATGCAAGATTTCCTTCATTCTTTCCCACTCTTTCTACTGTCTGAAAATCCAGACTATGAATTGAATATTGTAAAATTCATATATTCTGAACCATATAAAAGTACAGCATGGAGGTTGGAAGTTATTGGAAGCATCCCCTTGCTCAAAGGCTATTAACTGAAATGTTACAGGTTTGTCTTTTCAATTTAAGTTTGAATATCTCCAAGGATGGACGTAACACAGACTCACTGTGTAAATCTCTCCCACTGAGTGGGAAAATTTTTCATTTATGTCCAGTAGGAATCTCTTGTCTTGCAGTGGGGTATTTTTGCCTCTCGTCCTTTGCTGTGTGACAGTAGGAAGATTCTGTCTCTGTCTTCTCCACCCCATTTTAGATAGCCTCAAGGCTCAGTTTACCCTCCTTTTAGTTGCTTGTTTTTGCACATAATATTTGCATTCTGTCAATGCAGGCACTAAAAAAAAACTGCTGGTAAGGAAAATACCTCTAAATCAAGGGGACAATAGAATAAGTGACTAATATTAATTTGATGGAAATTGCCCATGTGCAAAGTTCTGAAATTTCTAAGTTACTTCTCTGTGGGACAATCACGAATATCTTCCCTTCCTGTGTCTCGCAGGCTGGACGTTCCAAGAGTTTGTCCCTTTAAGCTGAATATATTCAAAGATAAATGGGGGCTTTCAGCTGATATAAACCACAATAAATGTTTCTGTGTATGCAAGAGAATGTGTGTGAATGTGTGAGGGTTTCTAGTGTGAGGCAGAAAAATAGAGTTATGATCCTCTCCTCCCAGAAGAGGTCATGTCTCATGACAGGTGAAAGGTCATTGGATTTGGAGAGTTGCTATGACCTTTAGGATAGGGAGCAGCCCTACCCTGGGGCAGAGCTCAGACACATAGCTCCTGCTGTATGGCTGTTCCAAGTTCTCTGTGTATTTGTTGTTCTTTGCTTAGTCCCCGTCAAGTTTTTTGAGGAGATTTTACCAAATGCTGTAGAGCAAATATGTCACAGACTGATCAGCTATTTGGTCATGTAAGTTCGCAATGTTTGAAACAAAGTAATAGCTACCAGCACCTCCCTTCTCTAGACGCTTCACTGAAAACTGGAAAGATCTTTTAAAAAAATTATCTCTGTTGCCTTCATGATTTCTTGTCATCCAAGCATTTCAGTTGACTTAACTTGAACTGAGCAGCTTTGCTAAGAGGCTTAACAGTGTTTTTACTGTGGACAGCATGCTACTAAGAAGCAGCAGATATCGTAATTATAAACTGCAATATTTAACAACACCCCAGGAAACTTTCTGTCTAGCAGTACTGCTAAATAACGTTTATCCCATAATCTCTCATTAAAGGATTGTATAAATCAAGGTTATGTGTTTTTTTAAATGATTTAGGGTTTTTTACTCCTAAGTTTCTATGGACTAGACCTTGGTCAACATCCCCAAGGATAATTTATTTCCTTTCTACTTAAATTCCCAAGCAAGCATGGTGCATCACCATATTGGGCAGGAGTACTGTAACTTTCTGTAGCTTCTTGTTTTGGGATAGAAGAGAAGAGCCAGACTTGTTAGAAGAGGGGCTTTTTGAGGTGTGTATGATTCCTCTGGATTGAGTACACATGCAGCTTGATAACCTGAGTCAGGAGAAAGAATCATCATTTCAGATTTAGTTATGTGCAGGATTAGGGACATGTGGCAGCTTCACCTCCAAAAAATGCACAGTAGAGACAGGGAATTAGGGCAGATATACAAGATTTTACCCATGATGATAAAAATAGAGCAAAGTTAATACTAACCTGTGTCATCATTGTCGTCATCGTTCCTCCTCCCACCCACACAGCATAGAGCACACACAGGCAGTGTCTGCCATAATCTCCTTTTCTAATTGTGGTGGTATTCCAATAATCCCTTTTCCTCCTTATAGCTGCTTGCATTCTAATACCCAGCCTTTTCCGCGCTCTTCCTCCTATGCTGGCAGTCTCAGAAAAATATTTATTGTCTGATGTAAGTGAAAGTACAGCTCTTTGACACAGAAGTAGCAAAAGAAAAGTTGTCCTGTGTGTGTGCAAGAACCTGTGTCTATAACATTGTCAGCTGAGCTCTGTGTAAGCAGCCACTCTGCCTTGGGAGTTGGTGGAGGGTTTCCATGGTGGTAGGGCTGACTTCTGGGTTCTTTATTTCAAGACCTGTTTAGCTGGCCTTTTACATAGCCAGGTTCAGTTTTTACTTGGTCTAAAATAATCACAGTTTTAGTATCTTATATTACCTGATATTTTAAGTAAGTTTTATCTTTCAATGCAGATATTTATCTCATAATGAGGATTTATATCTTATGAGAGTAGTAGGAAAATTAGTTACAGCAACATGTTGAAGGGAAAATTAACATAGCTGACCCAGGCAAATAAGGCCAGTATTGGCTTTACTGCCTAAGCATTAAAGAGGGTGATTTCTGATGTGTAGTTTTACCCTTCTTCTGCCTACAAAAAGAATATTTTCCTTTCTGCATTGCTTTTCTTTACATTGAAGGGGTATACAACTCTGTGAAGAAAAAAGATCCATCTGTAAGAAGCAAAATATAATATGAGATAATGAAGAAAAATAATTTGAACAATATCATATGTGTAAAGTATTTCACAATTGGTTTGTTATTTGTCAGTCAGTTTCAGTGCTCTGAATTCAAGAGCTTTAAATTAACCAGAATTGTCATAATCCTTTTGATTTGATTAAGTATTTCGGTGATGTGCCAAAGTTAAAATGATAGAAACCCTGAAAATAAAATGTCATTGTGAAAAAATAACTAGAAAAAGTCAGTGTAGAAGGCAGACCAGCATGGCTAATGACAATAAATGAAATCCTGCTTGGGAATCTTATTCTTATCCAGCAAAGCATTTAATCCCGTCATTTAAGCATATGAGTTCTTCCCTCTCTAAGCATGCATATTGTCCCACTTAGGTAAGGGTGAGGTTAAGTGAGTTCCAAGACAGTTGCCATAGAGCTCAGCCCCTGTCAGACCAGAGCTTTGCTGTCCTGGTGGGGGACACATCTTGCAACAAGAGTTATGTATTGAATGGCATTTCTGTAGGCATTTCTGTGGTACAAGTTCAGTGCGGCCTAGGGGTTTCAAAGGCAGTCTGAGAATTATTGTTATGTTTGGGTACAAAGGGATAAAACATGCTTTTTACTGTAAGGTACAAGTCTTTTTTTATTTCCAGCACAGAAAAAAAAAAATGAAGGGATAAAGAAGAACAGATGAAAAATACACATATACAAAAGAATCTGATGTCTAGAATTCCACAGTTGAAAGGTTTTTCTGGTAAATGATGTTCTTGATTTGAATATACTTCAAATGTAGTGCAAAGGAATTGCTGTTTTGTGCTGCATTGTTAAAATATCTTACATGGAAATTTAGTTTCATGTGAAAAGTTACTAGATGATAATACTGTGTAAGAATTAAAGTTTATTATACTGTTTTATTGGAAGCACCTACTCCTTTACAGAGGCTCTTCAATCAATGAGTATTGTCAGGTGCATTATGGTTAGTTTAAGGGCTTATTTCATCTTTGCAGATGTGTAACTCCTACAGTAGTAGGTACTCACTAAAGTTACATTGTTGCTTCCTCCAGCAGAAAAATTGTAAATTATAAAAATGAACATAAGAAGTACTACAGTCTAAACCAATATAATGTGTGCTCGCTATTATTTCTAGAGAGCAAGGCCAGGTATCTTCTCCCCACATAAATGGGACAGGACAGGGCTTTGCAGGAGTCTGGCTGGGCTCTCTCCTCTGGAGAGTGGCAGAGGATTGTCCAGAGCAGATGTGACTCTACATCTGGAACAAGGAGCTGACAGGGTTGATGCAAAAAGGGCTATAATTAATTCTACACCCACAGCACACCTTGTTTCAGTGGGAGACCTTTCTTTCCACAGTGCTTTCATCATATTCCACAATGCCCATGACTTGTGTATCACTTCTCCCTATGCTAGGAATTAAGTGCTGCTTGGCAAAAAGGGCAGCTTTACCCTTGGTAGGTTTCATGCTGGGGAAATTTCTCTGCTGCCTGTCTTCTGATGCCTTAAATCCATTTTTTACTGTACATAGCTTTTGTACCTGAGAATTGATGCCGTAATAATCTGCATTGGTAGTGAGTTCCACAAGATGAATATAAGAAGCAATTTGTATGCCCCACAAAACATGTCTTCACAGCTAATTTATTGCATTGTAATCTACTTCTGTTTCAGTGAAAAGCAATCACGGATATAGGAAAACAAAGAGATACACTTGTGTTTGGACAAGAAGAATAAATGCAGAAAGTAGTGAAAAATAATTGGCAAAAATTGCTGTGTATGTTGTTTGTATAAATAGTAGACTTAAGGACAAATATGTGGTTTTTCAGTTTAGTAGAATTTCATTTGGCTACAGATACAAAAAAAATACTGAAAATGAAAACCAGGTGGCTGCTCCAACACTCCTTAATTCCTTTTTATATTCCCTTTATGTTTTGTAGCTGTGCAATGGTGGATCTGTGACTGATCTTGTGAAAGGATTTCTGAAGAGAGGCGAAAGGATGAATGAACTTATAATTGCTTACATTTTACGTGAAGCTCTGATGGTAAGATAAGCTTTCAATGAAAGGACAGTCAATATTCAGCTCATACTTTTTTCTTTAAATGAATGAAGATCATGTCCCCACTAACACAGCTCACTATCTTTTATTATAGCAGTGTTTAATGAAATCTAGGCAATGTGTAATTAGCATGGTTCTTTTTAAGCAAGCAAGGTAAATAGCAGGTAATCTGTTCATTTCACTATTAAGAGAATGAAAATTGATTTCTGACCATTGATCAATTTTCTTACTAAATACAGTTCAGCCTCCTATGTTTGGATCCAAACTATTTTTATAGTAAAATAATCCAGATATCTAGCAAATTCAAACCCTGCTACAAGAATTTGGTTCTGCTCATTAGGATCAACTGTCTTTAGTTATCATTTTCTTATAACTGAAATTTTACTTTCTCTGGTGGAATTTAGGTCTTAGTAGTTTTCTTTGAGTTTATGCTCTAAAGGTATTATATGTAGGTTTATAGTGATATTTTTCTGCTGTAATTATAAACTTTCTATTTGTCATAAAGTGGGGCAATGAAAGAATATTTTTTCCTTGTCATATGGCAAGTGGTTTTGCAGTAAGAATGACATCCCTGTGGTTTTGGATTTAAAAAAAAAAGTTTCAAGTATTTTTCATACTTTTCCACTACCTTGTTTCTGCAAATGTAATATGGAGGACAGACCTGTTGTTAAAAGTTCATGTTTACATCTTGCCTTGCAGGGACTTCAGCACTTGCATGAAAACAAAACTATCCACCGTGATATTAAGGGAAATAATATCCTTTTGACCACTGAAGGAGGAGTCAAGCTTGTGGATTTTGGTATGTTATGTTTACTTATATACACAATGTTTTACACCTGAAGTATGGAAAATAGAATAGAGTAAATAAACCAGAAAATATGAACTGTGTTAATTTTTTGTTAAAAATCACTTGGATAACCAATGTTACTTTTGTTAACTTGATAGAAGTTTTAGTAATTTTGGTAAAGCTGTTTCAGTAGCATGGCTAAAAACCAGAAATTATAATATGGTGGTAGTAAGTGCCAAACGCTTTGAGGCACAGAGCAAGTCAAATGGCAAGGTGAGAAAATAGGATTTAAAATAAGGGTGGTGTTCAGTTCCTCCAGGAACCATACATTGGTTCAGTGAAATTAAGAGCTGATAGTAAAAAGCTTCATGGTTTAAATGAGAGCATTTAAAACTTAATAGATATTGTGAAGAATGAGAGAGAGGGCTCCACCTCAGATGCATATACTTCCTTTATTTGAAACGAGCGATATTTGAAGGCAGTAGAGGAGGAAATATTATATAGTTAATCTTCACTTTCTAAAGTCTGGGGAAGACAGATTTTGGCAAATCTAAATCTGAGAATTGGCATTAAAAGGGTCAGTTGAAGCCTGTTAGGCCCAAAAGGATTCCTGAATGCTCCCATCTTTGGTGTCACCACCAAAAGGGAAGAGGAGAGACATGGATAAGTGGATGCAACCTGTTGTTTATCAGCAATACCACAGTCATTTGCTTAAAAGGTTAGGTTTGACTCTAGTTTCATACAAGGGCATTTGCAGTGCTTGTTGTTATGAGCTATTATGTTCAGGTAGAACACTGCCTTCTTATGTTAAAAGTAAATTTATTGGTCACTATTTCACAGCACAGCAGACAATTGTAAATATGTTTAATTCAGCAGATGGAAAATCTTTGTTTTTCCTTTGCCCTCCTATTTTGTTAATGATTCTGATTCAACTGATATATAACAATTGTTTAAACTAATCTTGGGATTTTAACTCTCTTTAGTATAGTATCTTCTGGCCAGTAGGTTGTATTTATGGAACTCTCATGACTTGACACACAAATTCCCAAAACTGTCAGGGTTAGTAATTCTTTTGAAATATCATGTATTTCTTTTACATTCCTCACATAAAATCTTCCATTGGAAAATCTTTGTATTTCCTAAATCATCTGCAATATACTTACTAGTATTTTCTGATAGTCTGGAAGTTTATTGTGAGGCAAAAACCAGTATTTTTGCACACAGGCTTTTAATTTGTAGTGGTAAAAATTTTTAAGGTGCTGGAGGCAATTAGAGGATCAATGCTTCTAAAAATTAAATCGTTTATGCAGATATCAAACTTACAAGCTGTAGGGATGAGGACATGAATTTTTTATTCCCCAGTTATTGCAATCTCCTGATAAGGCTGTAATTGAAAAATAATCTTCAATTCTTGTGGGAAAATTGTGATGCCAAAATATAGGTTAGAACATGCACAAGAAACAAATATACATACACACGCATTTATGTGGACTCAAAAGGGGCCTGTAATAGCTGCAGTCCATCCTCTCAAAGGAATATACAAATGGCACTTTAACTTCGGAGTAGATTGATATTTTCCCTGGCCTTCCCCCACCTCCCCGGGAAGAAAAACAATCTGAAGCCAATAATGAATAGTTTCAGATGGAATAAATTTATAGTCTTCATAAAATCATCATGGAAGATGTACCATTCACCATTCAGGCTGCTGCTTAAGGTATTCAGCTGGGATTTGTGGGATTTGTGTCTTCTACTTAAGGGGATTTAATCCCACATTAATCAGATTCCAAGATCATTTTTTAACTAGGAATGTGAGTTGATGAAAATCTCTCATGTTGGCGTTGCTACAGACTGTTGTACATAAACCTTTATTGGATCAGGGACTTAAACTCAGCCATCTTTTATTATACAAGCTTATAAAATTGTCAGGCTACAGAGTGAGATAGGCATGGAGGTATAGTTTCCTTTTCACCCAGTAAATACTCACGGGAAGCAAAATTTTTGGTTTAGGCTGAACCAATTTTTATATGGGGCAAACAAACACAAAAAATCCCAACCCAAATAATCACATCACCCTTTCTAGCATGCACACAGCTTTTCTGTGTAGAGATGGAACAGAGGCAGGGAGCCAAGGACTCCTTTAACCACCAAACACACATGACCAAGGAAGTGAGCCTTTCCCAAGATAACTTTATCTGCACCATCCTCCTGCATGCTGGATGCTGGTGAGATGTTCCTGAAGAAGCCTTTGCTGTCCTCCCCTGATACTATTTATGGTGGTTTTCTTCTAAACATAAACCCTCTGTCTGAAACACGGGCTTGTGAAGTGCCTTATGGAACACGAAGCTAGAAAAGGACCTATTCTTAGTCTGCGTGTGCTGTGCAATCATTTCACTTTTTTGTCCTCTTTTTAAAGTACATTTAGGAACATTTTAAGAGTCATAAGTGAAAAAAGTTACCTTCTAGTGAATTAAATCGTGTTTGAAAATGGTTTTTTTTTTCCTTCATTGCTTTTGTACTCTTTGAACTTGGTGTATCGTGTTCTGCCATGGTGAGTCCTTCTGCACAGCAGTACAAACTTTTCAGAAGCTTCATTTTGTGACACAATTTATACACATTGCTTTGTGGTCATTGTATCATAGAAATTTATGTATGCTGGGACCATGGTTTCTGAACACTGCACAGTCTGTAATGGATAACCAACACAACACCCTTATGGAGAAGTAAATTACTTTAATTCCCAGTTAACAGCTGGGGATCTGAAACTTTGAGAGACTGAGTTGCTTGAGGTGACACAGAAAATGTAGGGAAAAGCTCTTCCAAAATCCAGGCTAACTCTCTGAATAGTTTGTCTTTCTAGAGGTACTGGCAGTTAAAGAGATAGACTTTGAAAGAATACCACAGTGCCACAGCCATGCCTCACTCAGATTGCTCTGAAGAGTGAAATTTTTTGTTTTCCCTTAAAATTCTGCTGCAATATTGTTTAATCAGCCCAGTAACATTCACGTATCTAAGAAACACCAATCCCAATATGGATTAATGATTAAATCAATTCAAATACCTAAAGGAAGCCTAGAAGAAAGTTGGAGAGAAACTATTTACAAGAACATGTAGGGACAGGACAACAGGGAATGGCTTCAAACTGAAAAAGAGTAAGTTTAGATTAGATAGTAGAAAAAAAAAAATCTTTGCCGTGAGGGTGGTGAGGCACTAGAGCAGTTTGCCCAGAGAAGTTGTGGATGTCCTGTCCCTGGAAGTGTTCAGGGCCAGGCTGGTTGTGCTGGATGGTCCTCTGAGAAACCTGGTGTAGTGAACAATGTCCCTGCTGTGGAAGATGAGTTTGAGCTAGATGATCTTTAAGATCTCTTGCAACCCAGGCCGTTCTGTAAGATCCCACAACAATGCTTCCAGAGCTCAATTGCTTATCAAGGAGCTGTCAGATAAAGTTTTAGTTTAAACTGTCCAAGCCACAAAAATTTTGAAATACTGTTACCAGGGATGCATCCTCTGGCCTTGCATCCATCCAGTATGAAAATTTAGATCAGGAGGAAGAAACAAAATTATTTTTATTTTTTACAGAAAATGAGAACCAGCCAAGGGGATCTACTGTGAGAATGTCCTGTGATCACAGATTCAGTCATTAAAGTCATTAAACTTCTAAATGCATTTATAGTCCATATTTTCTTTGTAAAAGAAGGCTGACTGAAGACAGTTTCACTACCTGAATATTTGTGGGAATTAGCTCCTAAACTGTTCTGATAGAAACCTTTGAGGTAGGATGTTCTGCCTGAGAATTGCAGCAATTAGGCTTCAAGCAAGGAATAGCCTCTACCACATTATATAGTTGTATTATATTCAAGCTGCTATGTTTTCAGTATAAGATAGAGATTTGATAGAAAAATATACATTTACATTAAATTCATTGTAGCACTTTAAAGAGTGACTGCTATGTAATCTGCTGTATAGAAAGAACTGGAGGCAAGTAAGGTGTGAATTAATTTTTTTTTTGATAAATATTCCTAATTATATTCAGTTTCTTATTACCATTCTGTGGAGAAAGTCTTTTTCATCTGTTTCAGAACTTTGGTGGCACACAGCAGATTGATGTTAAAAGGACAGATTTCAAATGAAATTTTAGCCTCTAAAGGGGCAGGAAATTAATGTAATGAAATTTAAAGAAATTAATTTAATGCCAGACACGTTTTGAAAGTCATGTGACAAATTTATCTGCAGCCTTTGCTGCCTAAATATCTAAGTGTCTGATCTTTTTTCATCAGTTAAAAAACTGGCCTGGAGTCACTTGAACACATAGCACACCTCATCTGTAGTCAAACTTAATACATTCATCTGCATTTTGTAATGTGCAACCAATTTCATGGGATACTAAAGGTGTAACATCTGCTTCTGCTGACAAATACTTGCTTCTTTGAATAGTCCCTCTCAATTCAGTTTCTTGTCTTGAAATCAGGATGCTGCACAGGGCCTTTCATGTATTAATGTCACAGCTCTATAATGTGCTGTTTCAAAATGGGAGAAGAGAGATAAAATATTATTAATATTTTTGTTGTTATTACTTTAACTTTGGTCTGAAAAAGTCTGAGTGATTTTTCATTTGAAATTATTTGAAATTATTTCTGAAATCCCTTGCCATTTCAGTGCTTCTGGGAGCTCAAAAGCCAGAGGTTTTCATGCTTATATTTTTTTTTTTTATCAAAGAGGATCCTAGAGGACAAAACTCCCTATCATCAAACTAGACAAGTTGCTGATGTCTCAAAAGCCGTGGAGGAAAGAACCATTTTTCCACTAAAAGCTGTGTGAAACACATACAGTCACATGGCAAAGTGATTCTTTTAGCTAAAAAGAGGAGACTGTAATGCTGATGGAGAACTTTTCTTCAGCTATATTTTTGAGGATTGACCTTTAGGCTGATAGTCTTTACCAAGAGCACAGGTAGCTCATACTTCTTCAGGACTACTGAAACCTGCTCTTCCAGGCTAGAAATATGGCAGGATGAG